ATTCATGGCACCACGCTATAAAAAAAAAAAAATAAATGAGAAAGCAAAGATGACCAAGTAATTTCAGCAGCTCAGAACACCCCTGTGGAAGGAATAAATGAGATGTAAAAATATTCCAAGTTAATCATAAATTAACGTGTTGGTAGTAACAGACACTTTCTAGTATGCCCCTTTAAAACCAGTAGAAAGCTCACAAGTCTCAATGTGTTAAATATTCTGATTCAGAAAATATTTTCCCCAAGAGCTGGCTGTTTATTGCCATCCACAGCAATTCTCACGTTCAGTACTAATCCTCTCAGCACCAGCGTGTATCCTCACCCCAAAGTCAATGTCACAAGCTACGTTTCAGGGAAGCTAAAAAAGGCAATAATCCAGAAAGCTGCCTTTTGAATAGAGAAAGGCACTTGAGGAATTTCTGAACGACCCATTCTGCATTACACTTCAAAACCGAGAGGTTTCCTTCGGTAGCAGCACGTCCGTGTCCTTTCGTCCTCGTGAGGGGGCTGGAGCCCTGGAGCAGGTTTGTTTCAGCACAGCAAGCACAGAGCAGCAGCGAGCTTTGAGTGGAATAACTAACCAGGCTGCCGTCCTGGCGCTGGGATTCCAACGGGATCTGAAGGGCTGAGGGCTGAGAAACCACCCCACGAAGGGCTGTGGGGTTGGTGTGTAGGACAATCATCTGAGCTGGGCCCTTCACTACCGCCCGGGAGCTACTAGGTGCCAATATTTTCAGCAGACGATGATAAACCTGTTTACAAAGAGCACCTTTGCTCGCTTGTGCTGCTGGAAGAGGTCAGAGACAGGACGGCCTGAACTCGCCTGCCGTTCCCCCGGGAGCCTCCCTCGCAGGGAAGCTGGGCGTGATGCAGGATAACCCCGTGGGGCTCGTGCTGCTCCTCCCTCGCCCAAGGAAGGCACACAGAGAGCCACCGTTCAGTGCTGGCAGGCGGCGGCAGCTCTGCAGCACTCGGAGGGACGTGCTGCTCTGCTCCCACAGGCCATGCAGCAGGACAATTAAACACCCAGCCTGCTCAGAAAGCAGGGCCGGGCAGCAGGCATCAGCACCATGGCTGAGCAACCACCGTGATCCTTCCAAAGCACAGAGTACCACGCCCTGACTTTATTCCCAGCATCATACTGGGCGAGAGCTGCAGCCCACTGGCAGACACCACCAGCGACCTACAGATAGAAAAGATCATGGATTTCATATGAATTGTTCATGTTGGAAAAGACCTCTAAGATCAGAGTCCAACCACTAACCCAGCATTGCTAAGTCCACCACTAAACCATGTCACTAAGCACCACAGGGGCAGAGTGAAGAAAACACAGAATAACAGCACTGGAGATGGATTTGTGTCTGTCTCCCAGCTGGGCTACATTAGTTCAGCCAAATTAGTCCCTCAGATGTGAGCCAGGACTCATGATCACAAGAGCAACAGATCTAGGAAGGAATTAGCACCTTCCAGGCTGCTTGGCTGAGTACACAGTAGTACACTTTCATCTGGTAGCAGCTCCCCAGAATCTAGACATCACTGAGTTTCCATAAGACCTTTCATCTTCAAAAGCACTGATGGTCTTCACAGCAAGCCCTTTTCTGCCACATCACCAAAATGCAGCCCTTTCTGAGGGAGAAACATCCCCAGAACGATGCTGGCCTGACCCAAAGAAAAGCAGAAAGACTGCTTTTCCTAATGCTCATGCAGTACAAGGAGTCAAGACTATTTTTTTCCTGTTCATAGGAAGATTTTTCTTATATCTCTCCCCAGGCTATAAATATGCACATGAACATCAAATTACTGATCTGGGAAAATAATCAAGAGATCAGCTGAGGCGAGCACAATGTGAATGTGTGGCTCCATGGACCCAGGACCTGGGCAGCACAACACACACCCCACTTGGGCAGCACTCCTGTGTGGACAAGCAGAACACAGCCCCAAGAACAGTTTTCCTAAGGATGTTAAGGTCTCACTTATCCAAATCAACCCCCAAAGGCAGGAGACTGGCACACTCCTGCTCATCTCAGCCCTATCCCAAATGATCCACTTCATTCTAGGCATTCTTACCATTGTCTCCTCTCCTTCCCTCCCTCTCTCTCCATCATACCAAGGAGCTTATTAGGAGGGTAAACCTTCCTCGGAGGGCTGGCATGCTTCCCAGTCCTTATCATCACTGCCCTCCCTTTGGGGATTTGTAACAAAATGAATGGTGACATCACCCGAGCTATCTCAGCTTTTAAAGGAGAAAGTGTCAGAGGGCTCCATGGGACAAAGTTTCTGGATGTACTTAAAATTATTCTTTTATCACCACTGGAATTTGGCTTTGGAAATCAGTGGACAAGGACGTGGTCTTTAGGTACCCATACACACAGAGCCAGTCCCTGCAGGCAGGGTCACCTCCCCCAGCCCTGACCCACCCCCATGTCAAACACAATCCGTGGTGCATTGGAACAGGGCACAGCGACCCCGTGAAACACTCTGGGAGAGGAGGCAGAGAACGAGGCTTCCTCCCTGGCAAAAAGGGAACACTCTACCAGGAGCTGCAGAAGCTGCTGCGTTCAGCACGCCAGACCCAGGGACACAGGGCTGAACTCCCAAGGGTGGGTTGTTTCCTTTAGCACAGGCAGCCCAAAAGACTTGCAAAACGAGCAGGCTTCTCAGCTGTCAGCAGGGATCCATCAGCTGCACGCCTGCTCCTCTCCTTCCCAAGGGCACTGCAGTCTGGGGAGGCAGCATCACCAGCTCCACTCCTAAATCACCCTGTCCCACAGCACTCACCCTAGTGAATTCCAGAAGGTTTTGCTCAGGCAGATGGACACAACGTGGCCCTCACCAGCAGCCAGAGCCAGCTGGAGGGAGCACGCTAATGGAAGAGCAGGTACAGGATATTGACTTCTTCAAAAAACCAAAAGATGCCATGAAGACAGAGCCTGCTGACTTGGCTGGCAGAAAGGCACAACAGTACCTAGTCACATTACAGATTTAACCCTTTGTTCCTGTCTTTCACTCACCTGAATGCTTGCAGAGAAGCAAATGGCCGTTACTGCAACATCCCCTCTTAATTCTCCCAAGCAATCCTGCCAGCAGGATTCCCAACTCTTAAAGTGCATCTTCTGCAGCTGGGAAGCATCTGAGACCCAGACTCCTGTTCTGAGCTGTAGTAATCACTGGGTAGCAACTACAGTGTGAGGGTTGAGAATGTCTGGACCTTCATACGAACTTGCTGCAACTAAATCTGACAATATAACTTCTACTCCTTTATAATCATGTCTTCATTTCCATAATGAATGTTTCATAAGCATCACACTTAAGAAATTCCAGAATAGGCCAACTCTGTGCAATGGAAGTTTTGCCATTTACTGTGACAGTCCCAGCCCCGTCGTCAGCGTGAATCCATGGCAGGGCTAAACACCCCCCAAAATCACTGCTTGCTGCAACTAAATCTGACAATATAACTTCTACTCCTTAATAATCATATCTTCATTTCCACTGTTTCATAAGCATCACACTTAAGAAATTCCAGAATAGGCCAACTCTGTGCAATGGAAGTTTTGCCATTTACTGTGACAGTCCCAGCCCCGTCGTCAGCGTGAATCCATGGCAGGGATAAACACCCCCCAAAATGCCTGTTCCATCCTTTCCTTTCCCTTCCCCACCCCTCCCTTCTTCCCAAGCCTGTTCAGAGGCACAAGTTTTCATTTCAGTTTTCATTTCCCCATTTCCAGGAGCCACTGAGCCCTGAAAACTCAGCACTGCTCTGGCAGTCACTTGACGTCCATGCCTGTTGCACTCTGGACAGATGAGTGAACGAGTTATCTGCTGTGGATGCAGAGGATCACTGACAGATAGTGCTCAGCCCAGCCCACAGGGAAATGGGCTGAGTGGAAAAGCAAAACCTTACTGGAAGAATGAGAAGCCCCAAGACCTCATTCTCAGCAGATCTTTGTCCCAGGCACGCAGCTGAGCACAATTCTGCAATGTAATGATGTGCTGGTCTTTCCCCTTCCCCTCTCCCTCTCTGAAGGTCACACAGGGACAACCCTGTCTGTTCCCACTAAAAGCCTCTTCTTTGCAGGATCCTCCACATCACAAGAAAGGCCATGAGCTGTCCCCACCTCTCTCTTGCTCCTTTCAAGGTGGCAGGCTACTGTAAAGCTGAAATTCTGACAAAAAGCCAGTTGAGATGGAGGCAGATGAGACGTCCCTCCTGTAACGTGCAGAGGAAATCACCCTGCACAGCACAGCTCTTCATAAGAACTAGACTTAAAATTTCCTTCAAATAAATACAAGGAAAGAGTCCATGTGGAGGAGCAGCCACGGGAACAGGTTGCTGTGCTGGGGTCTGTCTCCGTCGTCCATCGCCTCGCAGCTCTCCTGGGCAGAGCAGCTCAGGAGGGACCAGCAGCCACGTGTCGCCGCTCCTACCGACGCCATCTGCGAAGGGAAGGAGCTGCTGTGGCCCTGGGCTGGCACTGCCACCTGGCCCTGGCACAGCACGGGCCCCGGGAGCCAGCTCCTTCCCCAGCCACGCTCCAACGGCAGCCGGCTCCTGGGGATGTGTCTGGCTGAGTAGCTGGGAGATGGGGGAAGGTGAGAAGGGAAAGGTCTGAGCAACCACTGCAACTGTTCTGCCCCTCTCCTGGAGCCAAGACATCTGAGTCAAATTCCACTGCTCAGCTGGAGGGACTCTGCTTTCTAGTCACCTCCCAGGGCACGGCAGCAGCTCCTACCCTGAGGGAGGTCAGGTCTCCAGGCTGGCATCTGCCCCAGGGCTGTGCTCTCTTCAAGGAGAGATCCAGGGACTCTGCTCTCTAGTCACCTCCCAGGCAGGCAGCAGCTCCTACCCTGAGGGAGGCCAGGTCTCCAGGTTGGAATCTGCCCTAGGGCTGTGCTCTCTTCAAGGAGAGATCATGCCCTAACTGTGCAGGTCTCTGCAAGAAAACTACAGCTCTGAAGGACACGTGGAGTAGCTGCAACATCCTCTAGGGGCAGACAGCAGGTTACTCACATCCGCAAGCACTTGTCCTTCCCTCCACTCACAACCCTCTGTCCGTCCGGGCTCCAGTCCGTCGCGTACACCTGGTATGAGGGGAACACACGGTCACCTCTGCTGGGAGGAGCCACTGCCCCTGCCTCTCACGCTCCTCGGCCGGAGCAGCCACCTCACCTCGTCGGCGTGGCCGGGGAGATCGATGGCCAGCTTCTTTGTCTTGACGTCCCAGACCTTGAGAGTGCTGTCGCTGCTCCCGCTCACCAGCAGGCGGCTGTCTGCTGACCAGGAGATCTGGTACACGGCCGAGACGTGTCCCCGCAGCGACACCACGTACCTGCAGGCAGGGCACCACGCAGCCCTTAGAGCAGCAGCCAGATGGGTGTGCTCCAGGCCTGCCCCTGCCCAAGCAAGCAGAGTCGGCGGGTGCCCAGCACACCCCAGACAGCACACACGCAGCAGTCAGTTGCTGTAGTGTCCATAGGTGGCTCAGCCTGTCTGAAAAACCCTCTCAGTCAGGCTCAGAGCCTTCTAGAGGACAGCTCTTTATCTCAACTCCCCTAATGAGAGACCCTTATCCAGCAGGCAACACCAAGGCCTCACTGTACAGATGGGTCCTTCCTCTCTCTGGCTGAGCAGCCTGAACTTTGGAGGACTGTTAAAATGAACAGTGTGAAACCCAAGCTCATCAGTATATTGGGTGATTTACAGGGAAGGACTGCTGCCCCAGAGAGCTCACCAACGCTCCAGCTGGAGGCTAAAAGCTGCACTGCAGGAGCATCCAAACACCAACAGCACCACTTGTAACAAACAATTTGCATTGTTCAGAACAAGCTGTTCCTGGCACAGGAGCCATTTAAACTGGGTCATTCTACAGCATGCAACACACACGTCTTCAGGGGACCAGCCGAGTGGAACACCCCACCCCACCACCACTGCACCAGCCCTGGAGAACCCGCCCTGCAACAGGCAGCGTGTGCCAGGCCCCAGGGCAGAGACAGAGGCAGCTGAGTTCCTGTGCATGGGTTCAGGCTGCAGAGCTGCTGAAGGCACCAGGGAGCTGCTGGCAATGACTCCAGGGCCATCCCTGCCTGCCCTGTGCATCACACACACCCCCCAGACCAGCATCACCTCTGCCACAGAACAAACCAACCCACTTTCCTGTCCTGCCATCCCAGAGCTTGATGGACTTGTCAAAGGAAGCGCTGGCGATGATCCGGGTGTCGGGCGAGAAGAGCACTTGGTTGATCAAGGCCTGGTGCCCTGTCATCCTCTCCAGGGGTTTCTTGTCTTCTGCTGGTCTCCAGAGAAAGAGGGTGAAATCATCCGAGCCCGAGACGAGCCTTTCTGGTTCCTGGCCCTGAGAAAGGGACAAGAAAGCCCGAGTCTGGTACAGGCCAAGTGTAGAGAGCTCGGAAGCATGCCAGTGTTTGGGTCCACAGCCAACTGTGCATGTTTACTGCTTCCAGCAGTAACGGTGCTAGAAATGACAGGAGGGACAAAAGGGACTTACCCTGACTTGGTCATACCTCTGCTGTGCCCTGTCCTTCAGCTCTACCACTGCAAGAAGGAAAGGGAGAGGGAAAGAAAGAGAGGTTTGCAATCCTTACATGAAAGGAAACTTTCTAACCCTGCAATGCCAACTCCAATGGTGGCTCCTTGGGCCAAGCAGACACGTGGGACTGTTCACCCCCCTCCTCTTTGCCAAGGCGACACTGGGAGCACCCCTCAGCCTGCCTGGCCCCAGGCAAGGACGCTCATGGCTGCCAGCATGGCCAACACCCACACAGGGCCTGCTCCCAGCTCTCAAGGCTGCTTTGGCTGGCAGCAGCATGAAGAGGAGACGCCAGGTCCCTGGTCCCCAGGGCTGCCCCGTCCCGGGCGGGTGCTGCACTCACAGGAGCCGCTCACATCCTGGGGGTTGATGGTGGCCTCTGCCGGCTCGAAGGCGCCGGTGCGGAGGACGTAGTCGGTGCTCAGGGCCATGGTGTTCACCCAGTGAGCGTGGCCCTGCAAGGTGCGGCACAGGACCCCCTGGAAGCAAAGCCACCCGCTTAGAGAGGGCTGGGCAGGACACAGCCAGCCTGCCAGGACCCACTGGGCTGCAGGGACCGAGCCTGAGCTTGCCAAACCCTCTTGCCCAAGCTGCAGGCAGGGCTGCAGCCAGGATTAGCAGGGAAGAAACAACCCTGGTGATCTTCAGGCCTCAGTTTGCCGCAGGGCCTCGCACGGAACCCACCAGCAACGGGTCACTCCAGGGGCATTTCCAGCTTTTAGCACTATTATACGATTTTAGAGGTGAAGACATGGCACAACAGCTACCCCTTCCAAACGCTGTCAAGCAACAGGCACTGCCAGGTCAAGAGGACACAACACCTGCCCTGCACCTCCATTTTCAGGGCACAAGCTGTGCCAGGAAAAACAGACAAAGCTACAACCCAGCACATCCCATCCACACCGCCAGCAGCCCCAGGGCTGTGCCTCACTCACGTCTTGGCTCCTCCAGACTTTGATGGTCCTGTCCTGGGAGGAGGAGTAGAGCAAGCCATCGCCCCCCCACTTCACACACGTCACCGACTGCGTGTGGCTGGTGAGGATTTTGTCACACCTGCCCATCAGCGTGTCCCAGATGCGGACGCTGCCATCCTTGGAGGCACTCGCCAGGTAGCGGCACTCCGGGTTTCTGGGCAGAAAACAACCACGGTGAGGAAGAGCACGGCCCCTCCTGCCACACAGGAGCCCAGGGGGAGCACAGCTGGCTGCAGACAGAGAAGTGGAGCCCTGGCAGGGTCGTGTCCCTCTTCTCCATTTCCTCATCCGCTTTTATAATCAGTTTTTGCTAATCCAGTTTTTGTTTGCAAATAGCTGGAGTTTCCTACTGGCAAATTCAATTTGCAGGGCTCTGCTTTGAAAGGGCTCTTTTTGTTTCTTTATTTTTATGATGCCTTGGATTATTGGCTACAACTGACCCTCTCCACCCACCTCTCCCAGACAGAGCTTTAGCTAATTGAAGGGATAAGGGGATTGCACAGTTAATCAGCCTTCATGATAAACAAACTGGATGAGAGAGGCAACCACGATGCAGGAGAGCAGAAAGGGAGTGCTCTGCAGAGCCTGACCTTGGGCACCCCGTGGGCAGCTCCCCTGCCCCGGCACAGCACACCAGGGAGGAGCACATCCAGCCTTCGCCCAGCACCATGGAAGCACCATTTTCCCCCAGCAGGTACGTGGCAGAAGAGGCACAGCCCAGCAGTGCTCCCCAGCAGCCTCCCAGGGACTGTGAGCAGCAGCTGGGACTGCTGAGCTGGACACATCCTCCTGGCCCACCCCGGGGGCCGCTCTCCTGCACGCACCCCCGGGTCAGCACGATGGGAAGGGGGAAGTGGGAGCAGTGCCCTGCAGGTCAGGGTGCTCTGTTCTGAGCAGGGGAGGGGAAGGGCTGGGCTGGCCCCTTGCTTACATGTGGAGTGGCTCCCAGCACAGGCACGTGATCCATTTGGAGTGGCCGGTGAGCACCCGGCCGATCTGATTGCCGGTGGCTGGGTCCCAGAGAAATATCTGCCCAAGAGAGTAAGCAAGAGGGTTGTGTCAGGCCACACGCACCACATGAAGCTCAGGGATGTTTGGGCTCCATTTAGAAAGCAGAGGTGTCCTTGGTGTCATATCTGCACAGGCAGGAGCTGGAAGGCTGGATGCCTTTCCAGACCCCTGCAGCCATCAGCTGACACCTCAAAGAATGAGACACGATCGCCCTCCTCTTTCCCAAAAACACTGCTGCCAGAAAAACATCCACTTCAACTCAAAACCAGTGCAGGTCCCCAAAGAGCCAGCCTAGGCCTCTAAGCACCCTGCACCAGGGAGCTGTGGATGTTTGCAGAGCGCAGTGACAGCCAGAGTGCACCAAACGTGCTACTTATTGTTGGATTTCGTGGGTGGGACACATGCTGGTTTTCTCTTGTTTTTTCTCTCTCTACATAAATGTTCATCTGGAGAGCCAAGGCATTAGTCATCTCCTACTTAAGGACCTGGGAGAAATGGAAACAGAGGACAAGCAGCTCCCTGGGTTAGATTAAATCTGCAGCCCTGGCTCGGCCGGGCGATAGCCCTCCTCACTCCAGCCACCACCCCCGTGGCGGCGCCCTCTGCCAAGGGCCAGAGCCTGGACTCTTTCCTGCACAGGGGGAAAAGCGTCTCCCTTTGTCCCTAACCCCTCAAAGGCCCTTTACCAGGTTTGATTCAGTTGAGAACAGGGCTGCAGAGGGTCCCCAGGCTCCCCCAGATCCCCCAGCCCGGTCGGGGCGGGGAGCCCAGGCGTACCTGGCTGTTCTTGCAGCCCGAGGCCAGCTTCCTGCCGTCGGGTGACCAGGCGATGCTGAGCACCCAGTGCCGGTGACCTGGCAGAGAGCAGGAGTGGTGTCAGTGCAGAGCTGTCCCCGGCTGTCCCCCACGTCTCTGCACAAAGCCACCCCAAAGGAAGACTGGAGATGGGGGGGAACGCTCTGTGTTCCTCCAGGTCAGACTCTCCTCCTCTGCTTTAGCAGTGAAAGAGCAGCTCCCTCCCAGAGCCATGGCCCCAGCCTACACAGCTCTGAGGCATCCCTGAGGGAGGGGGTCAGGAGCTGCCCCCCGGGGCACCCCCGTGCCCACCTTTGGCCGTGAACTGCGGCGTCTCCGTGCTGAGGTCCCAGAAGCGGACGGTGGTGTCTCCAGAGCCACTTGCCAGGTACCTGGCAGAGGAGGAAGAGCCTGGCTCAGCACAGCGTCCCTGGGAAGGGGAGACGGTGACCTC